TATTGGTAGTTATAGAGTTAATTGGTAGAACTCTACACTATTTTGATTCGTTGAGCATGTCAGAAAAGTTGGTGTGTATTACGACTGTCGGCATAAACATTCGAGACATTCACGTAAAGAAAATGCGTTCAACTGCAGGCATCGAACCTGCGTCCCTCATTGTAAGATAGAAAGATAGATAGATCGATCGATAGATAGATAGATAGATATGAACAGATAGATAGATAGATAGATATGAACAGATAGATAGATATGAACAGATAGATAGATAGATAGATATGAACAGATTGAGATAGATAGATAGATAGATAGATATAACAGATTTAGATAGATAGATATAACACATTGAGATAGATAGATATGAACAGATTTTAATGGATAGATAGATATGAACAAATTGTGATAGATATGAACAAATTTTAATGGATAGATAGATATGAACAGATTTTAATGGATAGATAGATATGAGCAAATTGTGATAGATATGAACAGATTTTAATGGATAGATAGATATGAACAAATTGTGATAGATATGAACAGATTATGACATGAAGGAAAATATGAAGAGATCTAGAAAACATTAGAGGAAAATGCGATATATATTCGGTGTTACAAAAATTAGATACATAAATATGTGTGTGTATGCGTGCTTGCGTGTATGTGTGTTTGTGTGTGTGAGTTCCTATGTGTATGCGTGCGTGTATATTTGCGTATGTAAGTGTATTCGAAACAAAAATGAAGATTCTGGGAGAAAGTAGAAAAGCGATAAACGACGCATCAGAATAAAAGACATTCTAACCTGTAGAAACCGAAGACAGAAAATCCATTTAACTGCAGGGATCGAACCTGCGTCCGTCTTTGTAAAGACGGGCGGTAATGCATCAGGGATCAAACGGTGGTTTCCCCTACAAACGAGGGACGGGGTACATTTTCTTTAATAGGATTCATTTTTGTGGGGTCTGCGACGGCAGGAAGAAAAAGCGTGCTGCGTTGGTTTACTTTGTGTACTTTTTTTTCTTTCTTTTCTTTTTCTTCCTAAAATATTGTAAGAAAGCAGACGTTATTATTTTCCTGTCATAATCACTTGTCGATTAATATTGAAATTGTATATTTTTAAAGATAATATATTTGATAACTGATTATTTTTTTTAATAAAGTTACTTTTTTGTGTCTTTTTTTTTTAGCAATTTATAGAATTTTTCGCATTAAGAAAATCAATGTAATACAAAAATCTTTTTCCAATACTTTTCCATCAAAGGGAAATGCAAAAACTTTATTTAGTTTATTTTTTGCATGATTTTCAATTTTTTTTATATTTTTAACTAGCTTAAAAGTCACCTGGTTGGACGGCATTTAATGTAGCTCCTGCGGAGGATTCTTGATTGGGCTTGTTTAAGTGTTTGCCAGGCTCTAAGTCTTTGCATATTCTCAGCATTAGAAGCTTTCCTGTACGCCGTTTGACCAGGGTTTTCATTTGTACGGATATTTCATTCCTCGCTGCAGCCTTGGATCTTTTGATTTCAATCTGGCCCTCTATTTGTGGAGATTTCTTTCAGCGATGCTATGTGAATTCGTATGCGATAGGCAACAATAGACTACGGAAGAACTCAAAACTGATCGCTGCATTTAAGTATTGCATTAATATTTAAGCTTACCTTTTAACGATAATTCTTCTACCATCACTTAATTTAAAGAAATTTGATGTACGTAGGCCCTTACTTTGCGTACGAACAATTATTTTTATTTCATGAGTGAGTTTCGCTGGACTTCGAAATTAATTTCAGTTATTACCAAATTTATTGTAAGTTATAAAAATTGCTCAGTATCTGTCAATATTTCTGAGATGAGGTATTATGTACACTATTTACATTGCTCGGACTATCATCCTCATCTTTGTTGCCATATTTATCACAACGTTTCGGCCGTTGTACACTCCGGCCTTCTTCAGGTGGTTGGAATGTCACCCAACTGAACCCTTTATTTCGCTCGATGGGGTAGAATGTTCTAGTTTCATGTGCCATGTCTAATGGATACCAGTTATAAGTTATCTCCTGTTAATTCCCTTCTTCAAGGCGTTAGTTAGATCCAGTGACAGGATATAAAGAATGTGAGTTCAATACCTGGTTAAGGCGGTGGAGAACTTGGAGTGGGGAATTTTACAGGAGTTATGATATCCATTAGACATGGCACGTGGAACTAGAACAGTCTGCCACAGTGAGCGAAATAAAGGCTTCAGTTCGACATTTCAATCACCTGACGATGGCCTAAGCGTACAACAGCCAAAACGTTTTTATAAATATGACAACAAAGACGAGGACAGTAGTCCGAATAATGTAAATAGTGTATATAATAAAAATAACTACTTTAAATTATTATAATAATATTATCTATAACTATAATTCTCAAAATGTGTGTGTATGTGTGTGTGTGTGTGGAGAACTTGGAGAGGGGAATTTTACAGGAGATAACTGATAACTGACATCCATTAGACATGGCACGTGGAACTAGAAGAGTTTGCCCCAACGAACGAAGTGAAGGTTTCAGGTCGACATTCCAACCACCCGAAGAAGACCGGAGCGTACAACGGGCGAAACGTTGTGATAAATATGGCAACACAGATGAGAATGATAGTCTCAACAATGTAAATAGTGTATAAAAATTGTTATCGTACCAAAAAAATTCCTCGCAAAGAATCATGTAAAAAAATTGCCGAAATAATCGCAATAATGAAAACTTGGGAATCCAAAATTTCCAGATTACGGATTCGGATCTGGCCTGGAAAGTTTTTAATTTGCTGAAGGAGTCGGCCTGATTCTAGAATATGTTGGGCTACAGGCTCGAGACTTAAAATTGAAAAACAGTGATACACTGACATTTGAATTTATTTACATAGATTATGAAGTAAGCAATAAAAGTACTTGACCACTGATACGCAAATGTGTGCATCATGTGACGGGAAAGCGAAATGTGTAAATATCTTTAAAAAGAAATATATATATATATATATATATGTATATATGTATATATATGTATATATATATGTATGTATATATATATATATATATATATATATATATATATATATATGTATATATATATATGTATGTATATATATATGTATGTATATATATATATGTATATATGTATATATGTTGTGTATGATACACCTAATTTACATAAGCGGACTACTGACCATATAAATATGGGTTGGTACCGGAAGACGGGGGAAGATAGTAGAGATTAAGAAATTGAATCCAGAGACTCTGCCCGACTGCGATTTAGTCAACCCATTATGCAGGAACAGTCTTCCCAAGAATATACCAAACTAACTGTAAATATTGTGTACCTATTCTTTGTTTCAATACATTTTGTTAACGTACATTTTGTGTTGTATTATTCCATGCTTATTTAAGCTTCAACAATATATATGTATTTATATATATGTATGTATATATATATATGTACATATGTATACGTATATGTATTTATATATATGTACATGTGTATATATATATATATATGTACATATGTATATATATATGTATGTATATATATATATATATATATATATATGTACAAGCTGCTATCCATTATTCCACCGTGCCTCCCTTTATATATGTACTTATATATATATATATATATATATATATATATATATATATATATATATATATAGACTCTTCTTCGTTAAATCGAATTGAGTTCTCTCAGTCACTGTGTGTTTATCCCTTCATCTCTGCCGTGTGCCCAACGGATTAGTGGCAGATTCTCCTACTGACGCCAATTCAGTCGGTGTTTTGATCCTAGCTAGAGTCAACCGGACGTCTACCACACTGATGAACTGTGATACAGCGAAACAGTCTGTCTGTGGATGACAATATATATATATATATATATATATAAGTGATAGAGCTAACATGTTCATTTGTACGTATATTAGTCTGTGACCCTGAGATAATCTAATTATGCCTTATATATATATATATATATATATATATATATATGGTTTGAAGGCATGAATTATATATATATATATATATATATATATATATATATATATATATATATATATATATATATATATATATATAATCATGACTCATTAAATAATTTAGACAAGTTTTGTCTACTTATTTTGATAGGTTCCTTTTCTAATTCCGCAGAATTTTCTTAGTATTATTATTAAACCAAGAAAGCAAATTACAAATTGATACATATTCATTTTATTTCGACTACTTTCAGGATTAGCGCAATGTCGCTCTCAGAGTTTTGTTTTTTCTAAAACTAAAAATTTTTGTGTTCATCATTTTTCCAACACGAAATTGTTGTGTTCATCTGAAAATAAAATTTTTTCGTGTGAGGTGAAAAACTCTAAATTTATGCAAAGTATAATTTTTTAATTTTATCATATAGACAAACGTGTAAGCGTCAATGGAGGTAATTAAGTTATTCAAATATCTATTTAAAAAAAAAGAAATAACTATTTAAACTCAGTTAAAACTTAGATATTTTAAACTATCTACCGTGAACATTTTAAAACATTTGTTCATTTCCATTTAATTTTATTACAGTTTAGTTTCAGGTTTTTAATACAGATAGCTTCAAGAATGTTTAGTTTATTATTTACATGAAAATATATAGAAGTATTTTCAAGAAGAATTTTTCTAAATTGCGAATATGGGCAGGTATGATGCTGTAAATGTTGATAGATTTTTGATGCATCAATCAAATGAAAACGCAATCTTCGAGACATATCTTAATGAAAAAAACATATATATATATATATATATATATATATATATATATATATATATATATAATTATTTATTTTAAAAAATTTATAACATAAACATGTTATAAAAATCACTACAAAAATAGCCATTTTGTTTCAACACCCCCGGTGTCTTATCAAGTGATGATGTTGAATGTAACCTAAATGGTTTTAAAAGTTTCAAATTAATTAACAATCTTTCACAAGGGGAAAACGTTGTTACAAAAGCTAGATGGACCAATCAAAATACAAGTATAGGAAAATTCAAAAAGCTTGACAACGAAGTCATGTTATAATAGCTATTCAGATGTTTAAAATATGGGTAGTATTAAAAAACAATTTATTCTAACCAATAATTACTAAATTATAATAAAATTTGATATTAAAATTAAAAACTGCTAATTTCAAAATCAAAATTTAATCGCTATAAAGTTTACAACTATAAAATTATTGAGGAGAAAAGAAGAAATATATATGTTATTCAATTTATTTCTTCATTGAAGTTACTTTAGCTAATTTTATATCTGGTCCTTTGACAATGTATACATTTTAATCCTAAGAGTGTGTGAATGGGGTCCTAAACTCACGCGTAAAACAAACGCAATCAGATTATAATATATAAGCACCCAGACATATTTTTCTACATATATATATATACACACAAAAAGAGACGAGACAGAGAACATCATTTATTTTGTTCAGGTTAGGGTTCAACTGTTTTATGTACATAACTTGAGAATTTTTAGTTTTTGTGTCTTGTTTTCATGTTTATATATATATATATATATATATATATATATATATATATATATATATATATATATATATATATATTCTGATAGATGCCGGAAGATGATTTCATTCAGGTATGTTCAGACTGACGTGCCTTAAAGGTACGTGTCTGCTATCCAGGCAAAAGGACATGCCTGAAGGGGACAACACGAGACCTGGGAGATCCTATAACAAAGTTCAAGTCATACAGATGCTGTTTAGACCATGCAACGTTCATATCATGTGACCAGTAAGCATATCATGTGACCAGTAAGCATATCGTGAATGGAAGACAGAAAGCGGATTTTGCAAAGAGCATTTGCGCGCGCTATTTCCTCTTTGCACCCCGCTGTCTTTCCTGGGAACAACGCTCCGTTGCAAAGATGCGATGCAACCCATAGAGCCTGGAAGAGGTCCTCTTTACCGGAATAAATAAATCTTTCTTTTGTACATATCTTTCACTCTTTCTTTATCTCTCTGTCTCTGTCTCTGTCTCTGTCTCTGTCTCTCTCTCTCTCTCTCTACATCTGTTTTTCTCTCTCTACCTCTCTGTATCTCTCTTTCGTCCTTGATTACATTAAACGTGTCGAAACACAGCCAGTTCACCCAGCCATATATCATTTACTAGTTTTTAAAAGGTTGAGTTTATAGACTATAATAGATAGATAGATAGATAGATAGATAGATAGATATAGAACAGGGTGGAATAGATAGATAGATAGATATAGAACAGGGCGGAATAGATAGATAGATAGATAGGTAGATAGATAGATAGATAGATAGATAGATAGATAGATAGATAGATAGATATAGAACAGGGTGGAATAGATAGATAATATGAAAAGATATGAAAAGACCGCCGCAGATAGATAGATAGATAGATAGATAGATAGATAGAGTCTGGATGGAAACATTTGAACATGGTAAATACGAAAGTTGCATGAAGATAAAGTTAATCAATTATATCGTTTTTCTGTTATATGTATTGACATAGATAGATAGATAGATAGATAGATAGATAGATAGATTCTGGATGGAAACATCTGAACATGGTAAATACGAAAGTTGCATGAAGATAAAGTTAATCAATTATATGTTTTTCTGTTATATGTATTGACATAGATAGATAGATAGATAGATAGATTCTGGATGGAAACATCTGAACATGGTAAATACGAAAGTTGGATAAAGATAAAGTTAATCAATTACATCGTTTTTTCTGTTATATGTATTGACATAGATAGATAGATAGATATAGAACAGGGGGTGGGATAGATAGATAGATAGATAGATAGATAGATAGATAGATAGATAGATAGATAGGCTGAGATATTATAGCAACGGGATACATAAACAAACATATAGATATATGAAGTGATTGTAAGATCTCAAGATATGGACATAGGCTGTATTATTATCTAAGGATAGATAGACTGAGATGTTATAGTAAAGAAATATATAAACATAGATGAAAAGATTGTGCGATATAGTAAGGATAGATAGATAGATGGACTGAGATATTATAGTAAAGATACATAAACATAGATGAACAGATTGTGAGATATCATAGAGATAGATTGTAAGATAGATAGATAGATAGTCTATCTATCTATCTATCTATCTATCTATCTATCTATCTGAGATATTGTATTAAAGAGATACATAAAAAAACATATAGATAAATAAACAGATTGTAAGATATCGGGATATGTTTGAGATAGATTGTAATGTAGATAGATAGATAGATAGATAGATATATAGATAGATACCCTGAGATATTATAGTAATATAGATAGAGAGATGTTATTGTAATATAGATAGATAGATAGATAGACTACTGAGCTAGTATAATAAAGAGATACATAAGCAAACATATCTATAAATGAACAGATTGTAAAATATCGAGATGTCGTAGCGACAGATAGATAGATAGATAGATGACTTGGTTACAATATTTCATAATAGCTTTCTATTAAATATTTTTCTACTTGTGTTCATTTTGGTTTTGCAAAGAGTATATATATATATATATATATATATATATATATATATATATATATATATATACTATTTCAAACGTTATATTTGATATTTGTATTGAAAATATGTCGGAGTTTTATATATTATTAAAAGTATGTCTTGCCGTGCATTTGAGAAATCTTAGTAAAGATTGTAATAAAGAAAAAATTGGGATCTATTTTAAATCTGAATTTTCCACTATATGGAATAATATAAATGCAGGATTAAAACTAAATTCATTAATCCTTTGGAAACATGAAAGTTCCATTGATTCATTGGTTTTTCACGGCTTAACCATTTGTAGGTTATTCAAAAACCTTTTTTTTTTTTTACATTTTGGGAAGCTTTTCAAAATAATGATCATCTTTATTGATACAAGTTCTATTAATTTGCCCATGGCTGGGGGAGGTCGTTAATATATACCTTTCCCAAAAAAATAAAATGAATTCACCGTAATAGTTCACTGGACCAAGAAAGCTTTGCAACTCTGCGACATTTTTCGGCTCAGGCATAATTTTATTGCAGATGTCCTATCTGGATCTGGTTTTCTGCCACTTTCATTGATTATATGGCCGAGATACTTGATTTCTTTTAGAAAAAAATCGCATCTTTTCTCCTTCATTTTAAAACCAAAATCCTGAATTCTTTTAAACACTTCTTTAATATGCGTTGCGTGTTCGCTTTTGATTAAAATGTCGTCTAAGTAATCAGTAGCAAAGTTCTGTCCCATGAGCATGGTATCCATAGTCTGTTGAAAGATTGACGATGCTACTTTTATCCCAAATGGCGATCTGTTAAATTTGTAAAGCCCTTTGTGAGTATTGATACATAAAAATTTTGTACTTTCTTCTTCTACTGGAATCTGAAGATAAGCTTCGCTTAAATCAATCTTAGAAAATACATTATCACCGTTAAGCTTGCTAAATATTTCCACCGGGCTTGGCAATGGGCAGTGATAATCCTTGATGGCCTTATTTAACCCAGTCCACGTGTTTCTCCGGATTTTTCTTTACGTAGACCACTGGTGCCGCCCATTCACTAAATTTGATTTTTTGAAAGGATTCCAGTTTGTACCAATCTATCTAACTCCTTGTCCATTTTTTTTCTGTGGTTGCGAAAGGCACGTTTCGCTTTTTTCTTGAATACTGGCTGAACATTTTCCTTTAGTTCAATTTTAGCCGAAAACTTATTACATCGTCCCAAACCGCTCGAGAATACCTCGGGAAATTACCTGTGTAGTTCTTTTAATTTTGTAGCTTCTTACTGTTCACTCTATTTTCTTGCAAAATGTGCTAATGGGTAAATCCCATACGTCATATTTTTGCATCCAATCCGTGCCCACCAAATTTTCTGTGCCTTTCATTGCAAATATCTTCAATTTTTTCGTTTTACCATGGAATTTTACGTTTAGAATTACTTCTTCAAAATTGATACGCCTCCCTGTAACAGACTTGGTGATTTTCTGTGTATGCATCATGGTCGGTCTATTTAGCTTCTTCCATGTCTGTAAATTAATTATAGTTAAATCCGATCCTGAGTCTAACTGTAATTTTACCTTCTTATTTAAGATCTCGAGTTCCACGTATTTTCTTGTGTTTAGTTTGTCTTCGTAGTCCATTCTAGCAGTTCTTACCCTACTAGTGCGTTTTTTGTTTCTGCATTGAGATGCCTTATGTCCCATTTTTCCACAGGCTAAACAGTTCTTGTATTTAAATCGACAGTCTTTATTCCAGTAGAATCCACCACATCTGTAACATGCAGATGGAGGTGGGGGCTTATATTTGCTTTGATCTCTGTCATTAATCGCCTTATACCTTGAATTGTTTTCTTTATCATAAATTTTTTGTTTTTCTTTTGGTAGTGGGGGGGAAACGTAACTTATTGTATGTGTGCTACTCCCAATTCCTCCATATCCTTAGAGTCTTATTTTATGCTCAAGCATTTTTGGCAGTCTTCTGACAATTTTTGTAGCTTTAATCCAGGCTCGTTTTGAAGCTTCGTGGACATTCTTTTTTGCATTTCACTGTATGTACTTGGCTGAGACTAATCCCTGTACGAAAATAAGACACTTAAAATTGTCCGGAGTCAATTCTGCCAATTTAAAGTCATCGCAATGTTTGTTCACAATTGCGGCGAACGTGGAGTAGTCCTCATTTTCGCTTTTTAAGAGGTTGATACATTACCATTTTTTGTGAAAAAGTGAAGTCATTGGACTGAAGAGCTCCGTAAAGCATGTAACTGCCTCGTCAAACGTCAAATCGTTTGTCTTTTTCGGTAGAATATAGTCCACAAATTATTGTGTACTCCTCTGTTCCCAATTTCGTGAGTAATAAACGTAGCTTCTTAGCAATTTTGGCAATCAATGTTGAAAATGTCTTCATGACGTCTGTAATAGTCCCCGAAATTTTTATCATCTTCTAGAGAATATTTAAATGTTTCTATTGTGTTCCACACTGAGTCTTGAGAAAAAGTCGCCTCTTTTTCGATATTCTTCTGTTTTGCGTTAACCGTTACTTTTAATATTAATTCCTGGAGTTGCATTTGTCTTTCTTCATTTATTAGCTGTCATTCCTCACTTCTTCTTATAAACTCAAGCATTCTTTTTTTGAAAATCTTCCATTTTTAGGGAGTGACGAAATTTTATTTTCTATCTCTTGTGTACGTTCTTTTATGTCCGTCGTTAATTTGTTGTTCTCTGTGTGAGTTCCTTCGAGTCTTGTCCATTAAGCTGTTGTTGTCGATGTGACCCTCGAATTTCCGTCCCCAGTTATTATTGTGTTGGCGAGCGAAAAAAATTTTTTTCCCGTACGTGTCCGTACTCTACGTCGTCAAGTTGTGTTGACGAGAGAGAATTTTTTTTTTCCGTTTGGGTCCGAAGTCATCGTCGCCAATTTATTGTGGACGCTGGCAATGGCAATTTCTTTTTTTAAGTCCCGTGAAATGCGAAATCCTCGTCGCCAAGTTGTGGATTCCGTGAATGGAATCCTGCACAAATAAATAAAACAACGCCAGTAATTGAGATAGAAAAATAGGTGTATTAACATAAGAATACAGACTTGAAGTGAAGATTAGTAGTCCAGGACTACGGGTTAGTAGAAAGTATATGTACAAGTCTCTGTATGTAAAGCCTTAATTCTCTCTCTCTCTCTCTCTCTCTCTCTCTCTCTCTCTCTCTCTCTGTGTGTGTGTGTGTGTGTGTGTGTGTGTGTGTGTGTGTGAGAACACCGTGTGTCTGTCTCCGTATCTCTCAACCTGTCTCCACGTATCCCAACCTCAAGTATTCTCTCCATCAGTATAAGTATAATTTGGACGAGTCCATCTCATGTAAAAAGGAGAGAGCCCCACAATAGATAGATATGAACAGAACAAGATAGACAGATTTGAACAGATAGATATGAACAGAATAGATAGATAGATAGATAGATAGGTAAATAGATAGATATAAAAGAACTAGATAGATAGATATGAACAGAACAAGATAGGTAGATATATAGATATGAATTAAACAAGATAGAGAAATGCATACATACATACATACATACATATATACTGAATCTATCAGAGAAAGAGATATAGGTATATACCGATAAATAGTTGCATTGAAGCATTGTAAGTTCAACAGATAAATAATTGTATTTCGACAAGGTACGATGACTTTATGAGTAAATGTAGGATGTCTTCATACTGTGGAGAGATATCAAATGTAGTTGTCGCTTTAAAACAGTTGGTGCCCCATTTCTATTAATTTTTTTTCATTAAACACAGTCATATATATATATATATATATATATATATATGATTCCTTTGCTACATAAGAGTTCTCATGTTTCAAAAAAAGGGCCAAAAAATTCAATATAATTATTGAAATTAAATTGAAATTAAAATTGAATTAAAGTTGAGGTTTTTGGCTCTTGTTTTTGAAACATGAGAACTCTTATGTAGCGAAGGAATCATATTTTTTTTTTAAATAATTATAATTTAAGCTCTTCTTCTGTATGGAGCACTGGTCTTAAAAAAAAGATAAGAACAAAAATACTAAAGAACCCCGGATTATTTACCTAACGTGTTCTTTCCTATTTTTCTACATATTTGCACACACACACACACACACACACACACACACACACACACACACACACATATATATATATATATATATATATATATATATATATATAAACTAATATGACAATGTACAAAAGAAGCGGGGAAGATATATGCCATCTTCCAATAATTAAAAAAAAGTCCTTGCGTAACGTGACTTAATCTGCCATGTGCAAACGTTCTGGCGAACGTTAAGACATCTCTTTGGAAGAAACTGATAAATTTTGAAACAATATAGGAATTCATCAAAATTAAAGCCTCAAGGGAAGAAGTGGAAATTGCTAATGGAAAAAGAAGAGCAATTATTTTATTTTTTGGCATAAAGATGAAGAATGGCAATTTTGAAAAAGATTGCATAGCAAGATATGAACTAAGCTGGGATCTTGCCGACTTAAGGCAATACTTTATATATCGCAACAAAATAGATTTCTTGATGTTGGAGAGAAAAAAAAATGGAAAATGTACAATCGAAGCAGATAAAAAACGGCGATCTATTTAAACATACGTACGATATATACATACATACATATATATATATATATATATATATATATATATATATATATATATATATATATATATTGGTGGAAATATGTATGGTTTCGTGTGTCGAGTTTCCTCATATAGGACTTCAGCGATCTGAGTTTGTTTATGTAGATGCGATGACATATGCGACGATCTAGGTGTGCTGAGTATTCTAATTTTTAAATTATTTTCCATATATATATATATATATATATATAATATATATATATATATATATATATATATATATGAGATAACACTATTTATTTTTATATATCAAGAACATTATTGTGAATATTGGTTGGCAATGTGGAAAAAGTTTTTTGGCGGCGTGTTTCGTCCTTCAGGACTTTATCAGATTTTTTTACACATACAATTTCTCTCTCTCTCTCTCTCTCTCTCTCTCTCTCTCTCTCTCTCTCTCTCTCTCTCTCTATATATATATATATATATATAATTATTTTTTAAAAATTGTAACATAAATATGTTATAAAATCACTACAAATATAGCCATTTTGCTTCAACACCTTCAGTGTGTTATCAAGTGATTGTGTGTATATATATATTGTGTTTTGGATATATAATGTATTCGATTTTATTTAGATTTATTTTCTTATTGTTTACATGTTATATAAATGTTATATATCGTTAACCCATTTTATATATATATATATATATATATATATATATATATATATATATATATATATATCTGTGTGTGTGTGTGTGTCACTTTAATGGTTGTATTTGTGTAGATGCTCAGTTTATTAAACTGTGTATTTATTTGTTTTCACCTAACGGCATGAATGTTCGAGAAATATTATTAAATAAAAATATGTGCTCTCTCTAATACGATTTCTCGAATATCCAGGCCGGTAGACAAAAATAAATATATATATTGTTTAAGAAATAAATGGAGCGTCTACTAAAATAAGAGTATCCATTAAAAATAATGTTTAAATGGATAAAGAATATATGTCGTATTAATGAAAATTCATTACATTCTTTAGAAAAATAATTATATTAAACCAACATATCAATGTGTGACTTGTTATTTAAATAATATGCACAATTATGTTTGTTATTTTTTCTGTTTATTTTTTTTTAAATTTCCTGTTAACTTTAAATTTGCTAAAGTTCATATACATTCGAATGTACTTTCGAATGTTGCTTTATTCGTTTCCAATGATTGTTATGTGTGTAGTAACGCAACTGGTTCTCAGGTTTGATGAAACCATTTTCAAGTCAATCACAATGACATCATATAAACGGTCAAACTGAAATTTGCTCACACACACACACATATATATATATATATATATATATATATATATATATATATATATATATATATATATATATATATATATATGTGTATATATATTTAAGCATCTCACCCCAAGCAAGGCTGGAAGCCACTAGCACGCAAGTGGTTACATAGGATTTGGAGCGACAACAGATAGGAGTGATAGAGGAAAAGATGAAGAGAAGGATAGTGGATAGATCAAGGCAACAGGAGATGTAGATTGACATTACATTTGAATAGTTGGAGATTATTCAGGGAAACAGGAAAAGGGGAGGGAGTTTCATAGGCGAGAGGTGCGATAGGAAGCTATTGGAGTAGAAGAGACGGCTACATAATAGCTGGGCACTTGTATTCGAGCCAATTCTAATTATTGATAAAATCGTAAGACTTGGAATAATTGAGGAAAATACATGTTCTTGCTGAGCTCAAAATGCTAAGAGATGACATAATTGAGGTGAATGGATCTTCTTGCTGAGCTCAAATTTTAATTATTGATAAACTGCCAAGAGATGGAATAATTGAGGAAAATACATCATCTTGTTGAGCTCAAATTTTAATTAATGATAAAATGCTAAGAGATGGAATATTGAGGTAAATAGATCTTCTTGCTGAGCTCAAATCTTAATTCTTGATAAAATGCTGAGATGGAATAATTGATGGAAGTACATCATCTTGGTGAGCTCAAATTTATTTATTGATAACGAAATGCATATAAAGAGATTGGCTATGGATTATAGTGGAACTATTAATAAATTCACTCGACTTGTTACTTATCCTTACCACGAATGGACGACCCGACTTTAGATATCTCCAAATATAAAATTTATTTTTCTTTGTATTTGAAGAGCGCATATTACCTAGTCCGTTTTAGGAGAAAAGAAGGTTTCAACTATTATAGATTCTTTAAAACAAGGCGGTCTCACTACTTATCTGATCGGAACTTTTCTATCGTTATGGGCTAACAGGCGATAAAGTTTATGTTTAATATTGCGAGACCAGAGTGATGGAGAATGGAACTGAGGAACTATAATTATGAAATTACTTATATACCAGGGAAGGATAAGGTACCAGCTGATACACTCTTACGGGCTCATTGTGGCACTATCCTACACAAAGAAAAGTTGTATGAGCTTCACGATCGTGTTTGTCACCCTGGTATAACCAGGTTAGTCCACTTCGTCAAAGTCAGGAATCTACCTTACTCTATGGAAGATGAAAAAATATTATATATACGCTGACTGTCCTGTTTGTGCAAGACGGAAACCACGTTTCTAGAAACCTGAAAAAGTTCGCCTTAAAATGGTTATACAGCCAATGAAAAGAATCAGCACAGGTTTCTTGTTTTTATATTTCTGAGATGGAAACCACGTTTCTAGAAACCTGAAAAGGTTCGCCTTAAAAAGATTATACAGCCAATGAAATTAATGAGCATAGGTTTCTTCTTTTTATATTTCTGAGATGGAAACCACGTTTCTAGAAACCTGGAAAAGGTTCTCCTTAAAACGGCTACACTCCCAAGGGAAAGAACCAGCATAGATTTTAAGGTGTCTCTTCCTTCTAACTCGCAGAAACGTTATATTTCAACGGTACTTTCGGTTTCATTTTGCTTTTGCTTGACCCCATAAGACAACTAATGTGGTAATTAAATGCTTAACTCAGATTTTCACCGTGTTCGGGACTTCTTCCTACCGAGGTTCCTATTTTCTAACTAAGGAACGGAGTAAGTACTTCACTAATCTGTGTATAGTTACTAGTCGAAAAACAACTTCCAACCCAAAATGGAATGGTCAGAGTGAACGATACAATGGAATTATCTAGAAGCACGTCACACTAGCCTAGGCTTCGAGAAATCTATGAGAATCTCAATGGGAAGTCTTACTACCCGCAGTACTATATTCACTAATATTTTCTTATCAACGCCGGTCACCTATAGTCATTCCTGGCCCACTTGGCTAGCAGCCCCAGGTCTGGTTCTCTTACGTCGTAAAGTCCGTAATTATAAGTACGAATATTTAGCTGGCGTGGTTTAGCTGTTAGAAGCCAATCCCCAATACGCGGCGTGGATAATATGTAATGACGGGCGTGTGTCTACTGTATCTTCTTCGTTCTATTTCGCACGACCGTTATGTTATCGGTAATAGACGAATACACTTGGTTTCCTTTGGCTTTTGCTTGCCCCAACATGACAAATAGTGTAGTAATTAGATGCTTAACTCAGACTTTCACCGTGTTCGGGTTTCTTTCCTATATCACCTCGGACTGGGTTGCTTTTTTTCTAACTAAGGAAGTGCGTGAGTACTTCATTAATTTAGGTATAGCTACGCGTAGAACAATGCTTTACAACCCAAAAGGGAATGGTCAGTGTAAACAATACAATGGGATTATCTGGAATCATGGCACACTAGCATTAGATTCGAGAAATCTACGAGAATCTCAAGTAGTTCTACTAGCAATACTGCATTTCATAAGATCTCTGCATTTTACCGCGACGAACACGACATACCGCGAACGAATA